ATATGTATCTTTATAAATACATGATGGTCTATTAAACACTGCTATATTGTATGGGAGCAAACAGCAATCTGTATTTATGCAACAGATAATATCTTTTCAAACCTGCCAGCTGCTCTGAAGTGTGCAAGCAGTGATACTGAGCTCTCCTGTTTCCTTTGTTTAATGCACATTAGTTACTGTTAACATAACTATGTTAAGCACTGCAATTAGGTGGGCATGACTTGTCCCACTCATGGCAGTTTACTGCAGAAAGCTAATATTTTACCTGCTTCTAGCATGTACATTTTTAGCCAGTTACACAGAAAATGAGTCATGTCACCCATTGCTCTGATGACTTATTCCACTTTCTCTAGTCAGGTTGCTTCATGGGCTCTCTCTCTATATTTTGTCTTTGTTTCTTGGCAATCAAGGGAGATATATTGCTGGCATGGTACCTGTAAGCCATACATACTGGAGAAATATTACAGGATTCAATTTTCTTAGCTATGAATGTCTACAAAGGGTCAGAACTCAGGTGATGTCCATGGGAGCTGCATATGTCCTTCATCAGAAAGCCATAAGTCTCAGACGAGCTGTCCTTCGCCTCCTGGTGGAGCTTGTTGGCCCTCTGGGGAAATGTTTGTATTGGAGGCTCGGTCCTTCAGTGCGACACACAGAGGAAATCAATAGGGTGCAGCCTGGAAGGAAAATCCACCATTGAAGGAGGCTGTGGCCAAACGGTCACTGTCCTGCTTTCTCCATAGTCTTTCTCCAATGCTTTCTCCATTTATTTCACATGAGGTGTGGTGTTTGATACTTTTATTTGGTAAACTTGATTTTCTCAGCATGGAATGATCAACAAACTGTAACAATAAATTATTCCGGGTGTTTGAATGCAGCTAGTCCTTCTTGTTATGTCTACCAACCACCACGATTCTCTGATTTTGTAATTCCGCGTGAGCTGAACTTTGAAAAATCCAAGATTTGTTTTCCATTACTCTGCTGGCAGCTGTAGAGCACATAATGAGGAGGAGGAATAATGTAGTGTGATAAAGGAAGGGAAGGAAGGATATTGCTAACTTTGCCAGAGGCTGCAGCATCAAGATCTCCTGGTTATTTGGCCATGGTTGCTCTCTTGTTTTGTCTTGTCTCTCTGTATTACTTTGAATGAGAAGAACATGATATAAAGAAGGTTTATTCCAGAGGTCTGTCTAAAGCTCGCATCATGGGTGGACTGCTACACCTAACTTTTAAAATGCAGCAGGAAACTAAAAAGTTCTGCAAAGGAGGATCTCTGACAACACAGATAAGGTGAACAGTGAGTAGATTTGTACAGCCTAGAGGCAGTGAAGCTCCCCAGCCCTCACACAGGGGTGAAAAAACATATACTTCTGTTTCGTATATATACTCAGGTGTCGGAAAACTTGGTTTTCCTGAAGTCTGTAGCAAAAAGTAATCTTGCACACTGCCATTGCATGTGCCTTCATGTAGATTATGATTTTACTAGACGATCTTAGAGGTCTTTTCCAACCATAATGATTCCATGATTCTATGTCTCAGTCTGAGTTTGTCCCATCACAGTGGAGAAAACGGGAGCCCAGAGAGATTCAGCTATTAAATGCAGAAGTCCAACCAGGCTGAATGGTTTTCCAGACAGCATCAAAAAGATCCTCATCGACTCTATGCGGTGCTCAGACAGGAGCTCAGTGGAAACACCTACAGTGTGATCTGATTCCCTAAACAGAAAAATATGCCAGGGTCTGATACACTCAGTGTTGTCAGAGGCATCCACACAGGGATAGATGCCACAGCACAGGATCTATCAGAGGTTCTGCACTGACAGCTGGAAGCCAAGCAGCACAACTCAGCCCATCCTGCAGAATTACCCCCACATGTGGATGCCTACTTAAAGATGCCCAAGTAGTAAGCTGAGACCCAGCCCTAGAAGTAACTGAGACTTTCAGAATATGTCATTCACCTCTCTAAAGGCACTGCTGAAAGCATCTGCTACCACCCAAAGACAAAATAATTTCTCAAGTTCAAATTCAAGCACGATTCTTTTGGCTGCAATGACAAATGAAAAAACAAGAGGTGGGGACGTCATGCACAGGTACCATTCAGCAGCCAAAAATGGTCCATATCTCAGACAATTTAAAAGATGTAATCTGAGTGCAGAAAGGCAGTGAATAGTACAGGTCCGCCTCTCAGTCACATTCTTAACATTTCAGTTACCCACTCTTTTTACATTCATTTTTACTTCTATAGGAATAAATGTTTGGCAGGGCCAATGTATGCTTGTCTAGGGACTATGAAAGCATATGAGCAAAGAACTCAGGACTCCAGCAACACCAGCTCCATCAGTCATTTCCAGGTCACTAATTCCCTATTTTCTCCATTGGTTTTTATGTAGAAGAAATTCAGGGAAGATATTTCCCAGATAGATTTTACTTTTAAAGCTGCAGCATTTTTATCCATGCTAAATATTATTCTGGAGAAGCTCCAATGATTTTGCCTCAACCATGGATAGGTCCATATGGGAGAAAGGTGAAGTCTTTGGCTGCAGGGCAGAGTGGTACCACTACACAGAGTTCTACGAACATTTCTGCATAAATGGTTTCACCCATTTGCAAGACCTGAAATTGAGTCTTCTATCTCGCCAACAGCCTACATCTTCCCTCACCTTCCTGACACCACTCCTTCAATCGCTTGGCTGCATACTTGAGTTGCAAACCAGCTGTGCATTGCCCAAAAAGTCCATCTGGGATGAGTGCTGCCAGAATAATGCTCAGAGCTTGGTGACCCTTGGAGATGCTCCTGAATAATGTCACTGTAGATGTCCCCAGAAAGCCTTCCACATCCTCAGGGAAGCAGGTCGCGGTGCTGCCACAAGCTGATGAGAATGTCACTTTCTTTTAGCATGTCTAGGGCAGGAGGAGATATCAGAAACACCCTGCTTCAGCATTTCCAGGCTCAAACTTTCAGAATTTCCATTTAAAGGGGAATTTGGAAACTTCTGGGGTTTTGTTGTGATTCAGATTGAAACCACATTTTGAAATGACAAAATTTCCTGTGCACGGGTAGTCCTGTTTTCCAGCTCTCTTTGCTCAAAACCAAAGGTTTCTCTCTCTTTTTTTTTTTTTTATATTGTTTTTGTACTGTTGAAACTCCCCCAGTCCTTAAAAAAATATCTGTCCTAGTGCGGCAGATGAGGAAAACAGTAAAACTGAAAGTTGTTGTACTAACTGTTTCAGCTCTAGGACACAGTGCACAGTAAAATGGAAATAATTCTGTTTTCATTTCATGGATTGGAAACTTCGTAAAGCAGTCTCAGTCCCAGTCCAGTGCTCCATGTATTCAGGAACCTGAAACAACTCCTGACAGTTTGAAATGTTAGGGCAGGAGACCTGAGTCCATATGGATCTACAAAGAAAGGGGGATATGAGTGGTGCCCCTAATTTTGTCCTCTAGAAATGTTCTCCTACCTCACTGAGCAAATATTGGTGCTATTGTTGCTCCCAGAATGGCACTGGAGATGACAGGAGCAGATGTCCATGATGCCACTTGGGTGGGACCTGGCTGCCTGTGCTCAGGTGCCCAGGTACCACTGGAGATAGCCTCGAGGTCCTGCCCCCATTGCTTCTATGCAGCCTTCAAAGAAGTGTGTCCTGGGTGAGTGATGAGATCTGGCAGGTTAATGAACCATGTGAAAGGGAAGGTGACACAGCTAATGGAACATTTCTGCAGTGAGCAATGGAGCATGTGGCAGAGATGCCAGAAGACTACGGACACAGGGTCAGCTCTGGAGTCACAACAGTCCAATAGCACTGGAGCTGAGCTGCTCAGGAGCTGAGAAATTCAGGGTCAAGCTGCTATCTTAGTAAGTGAGACAGATTCTATGTGCAGTTTGCACCATGATCTTCTTGGTAGAGGACAGTTTATAGAAGAAGTAACCAAGCTGAGTGGAGCAGTTGACACGGTGGAAGGGAAGGATGCCGTTCAGAAGGACCTCAAAAGGTTGAATAGTGGGCTCGGGTGAATCTAATGAGGTTTAACATAGCAAAGTGCAAGGCTTTGCACTTGGGCCAGAGGAATCCCAGGTATCTATACAGACTGGAAGGAGCAGTCCCTGAGAGCAGCCCTGCAGAGAAGGACCTGGGGGTCCTGATGGATGAAAAACTGAACATGAGCCAGAAGGTGCTCTTGCTGCTAGGAAAGCAAATGGTATCCTGGGCTCCATCAGCAGAGGGGTGACCAGCAGGGACAGGGAGGTGACTGTCCCCCTCTACTCTGCTCTTGTGAGGCCCCATCTGGAGTACTGTGTCCAGGTCTGGAGCCCCCAGTACAGGAAGGACAGGTGGTGGAGAGGGCCAGAGCAGAGCCACGAAGACCGTCAGGGGACTGGAGCACCTCCCCTACAAAGACAGGCTGAGGGAGCGGGGCTTGTTCAGCCCGGAGAAAAGAAGGCTGCAGGGTGACCTCATTGCAGCCTTTCAGTACCTAAAGGGAGCCTACAAACAGGAGGGGAACCATCTCTTGGAAAGGGTAGATAACTGCAGGACAAGGGGAAATGGTTTGAAGTTGAGGGAGGAAAGATTTAGGTTGGATGTCAGGGGGAAATTCTTTACTATGAAAGTGGAGAGGTGCTGGAACAGGCTGCCCAGAGAGGTTGTGGATGCCTCATCCATCCCTGGAGGTGTTCAAGGCCAGGTTGGGTGGGGCCCTGGGCAGCCTGGTCTGGTATTAAATGTGGGGGTTGGTGGCCCTGTGTGAGGCAGAGGGGTTGGAGATTCCTGATCCTTGAGGTCCCTCCCAACCCTGGCCATTCTGTGATTCTGTGTTTCTGTGAAGTAGTGATAGTGTCATGATAGGTGTTATGGTATTTTCAGATTGGGTTTGGACAGCCTATCTCTGGCAAAGAAGCATTACAAACTAAGGCATTACTAGAAGTGGAAATTTCAGTGGAAAGCAATTCTAGGATTTAACATTGGAGCAAATAATTTATATCATAAACAACTCAGGAACAAAATTATACAGCATATATTGAACTTTTATACCCACTGAATACATTTTACAATGGAAAAAAAAAAATCAATCATATATAAATCTGCAGAAAAGGTTCAAAAGTAGGGCAGAGAATGAAGTTATCCCACTGCATTACAGAAATTTATCTTTAGTTGGTCAAAGTCTGCTGTGTATCTGATCCCTAAGCCCAGCTGCTTGATACCTCAGCTCTTGCTCTCAAGGTACATGATCCAAAACCAAGCAAACAAAAATGTTCTAGTAAATTTACATAAGCATGGCCTTCATGTAAACTCAGGGTTAGGGAGCTTAGAGATTAGATGCAGGTTATCTCCTTCCTTATTTTACTTATTTACAGAGCTCAACAGAGCTGTGATGTTCTTCCCATGCTTACTAGCCTTCCTCCTTTCCACTTTCCTCTCTCTGTCTGCTCTTTGCCTTTGCCATTGGCTGTGTCAGGCAAGTCAGCCAGAGCAGGTTGTCCATTACAAGGTCCAGATGGATTTTGAGTATCTCCAAGGAGGAATCTGGATAATCCATGGATTATCTGAGCCAACCTTGCCTGGGAACTTTCCTGAGGAGGCAATGGATAAATCAACAGCATGTTAACAGCAATGTTGAATGAAAGAGGGTAAGGAACCACAGTCTGTATGTGGGCATGGAGAAACAGGGAGGAACAAAAAGCAGTATGTCTCTAGTCTTAAGGACAAACTGATTCCTTACCCACGGACTGGTATCCAGACTGTCCCTCCAGAGCTTTCAGGGACTCATCCCAGAACCATTATTGCAAGGGTGGGCAGCAGAGTAGGAAAGCAAATGAGCCAGAGGCTCTACTGGCCTCTTCCTTTTATTTTCAAAGAAGAGGCTCTGAGTGCAACTGGAAAACCCCTAGAGAAGAAAGTAGGACAAATGCTGGTGGGTATGATAGGATACCTATGATGTGAAACAGGGCTTATTCCCTAGGACAGTCACTATCAAACAGATAAACCTGATCCCTCCCATAAAGGTGGGTCAACACCTCCTCCAGCTCCCCCAGCGTGAGGAGCTGTACCTCATTCTTGTCATTCTCAGCAATGACCCCCCAAGCCTCCCTGTGGCTTTCGTCCACCTCACAGCAAGCGCTCGACCAGATGTGGCTGGGCTTATTCACTCTGCCCTTGGCAATATAGTTGTTCCCAGGCACAGCACCCACCACGACGTAGGTTGTGTTACACCCCACCGTCCTCCTCATCATGGTTTGCTGCTCATAGTTGTTCCAGGCACCACCGTTGAGTTTCTCATTCTGGGCCACGATGTTGGTGAGGCTGAAGGTTGCCGTCCTGCTGCTGGAGTCAGAGTGATGTCCACTGGGGTTCAAATGGCCGCGGTTCAAACCCGTCAGGTTCTTGTAATCCTGAAGGATAGCTTGGCTCTTGCCAATCTGCTCTGAAGTGACGTTGTAATATTTTGAGAGTGTCCATTCTCTTTCCATTGTTTTGGGATAACTCAGGCCCATCAGCTTGACAGGTAAAGAAGAAAAGGTGTTAGCACTGGGGATGGGAGTAGTGGAGCAGGTTTTCTGGAGCAGAAGTCTTTGAGTGCCGAGCACTCATTTTCTGCCATTTCAATGCAATGAAAACATACTTATCACAGAGAAATCATAAAGCTGTCCCTCCTTGACAAGAGATTAAAATAAAACAAAGCTCAAAATATGACACCACTTCATTTGGCTTGTGACCTTCGAGACCCAGTCTGCAGCAGGAATGTGGATGGATACATGAGCTATGGATAAATTTTCTATTCTCCCAGGTCTGAGAGGTGACTTTGGAGAGACACAAGTGTGACACATCTGGTTCCCTTTCCTTTCATCTCCACATCCCACACCTGCCCAAGGCTCTCCTCAGTTCCTGCTGCCCCTGTTAATCACATCCAACCTTCATCATCACCTACATCTCATCACACTGTCACCAGTCCTGCTCATTGCTCCATTCAGACCCACTTCCACAAACAGCTCTCTCTATGTTTTTCATGCCTCTTTTAGTTTAATCTGTCAACACTCTATTGTTTTACAGGCTTGGGGAAAACAAGAGCACAGGCATTCTCTTTCAAGCTTAGGTCACTTAGGGAGTCCTTACAGGTGGATAGAATGGGAAGAGGATGAAGAGAAGAGCCATGGAGCCCACAGAAGTCCCAGAGGAGATGAGGAGAATGCTCACCTGGGGTTCCACCAGCCAGGTTTTGGGTCTTGTGCCAGATCCAGGTTGGTACAGGTAAGCAGAATACACGGGAATACGCCTGCTCCTGTCATACAAGGTGGCAAAATAATACTGATTCTTGTAACGCTGGCAGATCCAGGCTGGGCTCTCTGGTTCCAGGGCTTCATTTGGGGGGGTTTCCCGGAAGAAAAACTGAGGGCATGAACTTTCAAAGGATGTTACCACCTCACCACGTCCCAGCCAGAGGCAGCTCAGTGAGATCTGCAGCAGCAGCAGCAGCATTGCAGGGAGGACTTTGAGGGATGAGCTCTTGCTCACCTGGAGATCAAATGCAGACAGACAACAAACTCAGAGAAAGCTCATCAAATCTAGACTCATTTTTGCTCTTGGGCACGGCTGGTAGAGAAGGAGACTTTGAAAGATCAAGGAAGAACAATTCATCTCTTATTGGATACTGAAAAAGCAACAGCAGAATAAGGCTGAACTCTAAAATGGGTTTTGGAATCATAAAATCACAGAATCATTAAGGTTGGAAATGACCACTAAGCTCATCCAGTCCAACCATCAACCCATCCCCACTATGCCCACTAACCATGGCCCTCAGTGCTCCAACTGCCCTCAGCTGGATTCACATTCTGTTCCAACAGCTTGGATGCTGAGTTCAGCATTAGTCTTGTGAGGGATTTAGAGGGAAAATCGCAGTGGTGCTAAGCTCACCACATGTTCCTTGCCTCATTGAAGATCACACAGAAATGCACTTTTCTCTAACTTATCTGTGCTCACAGCAGAATTTAAATCAGACACATGATCCCAAATGGTCCACCTTGGAGTTCTGGCACTCAGACAGCTGTCACTGGGCAACGTGTGCTCTTCTTGCATTTTCAGGGTGTCCAACCCAAAATCACAAACGTACAGAGACACATGGACGAAGAGAAGGGATTGAGCAGATGGCAGCAGCAAGCACAAGGGATGATTCCTCTATTTAGCTGCTATAGCAGTACAGATAGTCATGGAATCATATAATCATTAAGATTGGAAAAGACCTCTAAGATCATCTAGTCTTACCAATCACCTACCACCAGTACTGCCCACTGAACCACGGCCCTAAGTACCACATCTCCACATTTCTTGAGCACCTCCAGGCACGCTGACCCCACCACCTCCCTGGGCAGACTGTGCCAAAGCCCAACCACTCTTCTGGAGAAAAATATTGATGTGCTGATATATACTGATATATAATGCTACAGCTCTTCCTATGATTGTACAGAATTTCTACAGATCCATGTTTTCAGCTTTGCATGTTCTTTTTCCTGTACAGTGAAAAGAGCGGACACGAGATTTTCTATTTCTGGTCCAGAAATAGATTGTATTTCATCCTTCTCAGGTGTTGACATGATTGTCAGCAGTCAGCAAGATCTTTCTGTTGGAGAAAACTGTTCCTAATTTCATTGTGGTGCAGGATGCTTTATCTTCTTTCAGCTGCACTGCAGGCTTTGGGATAGCAGTGATATTTCCATTTTCACTGCTAGATGTTCAAATGAGTGATTTTCAAATAATTAGCATATGAAATCAGGCTGGTAGGAAAAGCAGCTGGAGGGATTCACAGGAGAGGAAGGCATTATGGCCTCTAAAACACAAACCCCACATTTGTCTGGGGAGGTGTCTGAGCTGAGGACTGCTCTTGGCTTGGAAAATCTCCTTGCACACTGCCCTTTTGTATTCTTTTCTCTGACCCTCATGTATTGATTCCCATTGCATTTGGAATACTGAGACAGAGATATCCTTTATATGACACAAGACATAAAACCATAGAATCAGAGAACCACAGAATAGCTTGGGTTGGAAGGGTCCTTAAAAATCATCCAGTTCCACTCCCACTGCTGTGGGCAGTTACCCCACAGGCCCTTTATCAGGCCCTTTATCTCTTTACTAGTGTTGGATCAGGAACAGGATGAGAAGCAAGCTGAAAACTGAGGAGAGAAAACCACAAGAGGTGGTTATGTCATGCCCTGGAGGGCTGAACCTCCTCAAGCAGAAAAGTTCCTTTTTTTGCACCACCCCCTCCACAAACTTACTACATACACATAATTTCATTTCAGATATGCAAAAACCAACCTACCGTGTGAAAGAGAAGCACATAAATAGGTTTATTCACGTGATGCTGCTTGCAGCCCCAAAACTGTAGAGGATTTTCAAATGCTCCTGCTACAATCTGAAGTTGTGACTGTGGGTGATTTATATATAGTCTCCAGGCAGGGAAAGTTGGCCATAATACGTTTTTATTGGATTTCTCAACCAGGAGTTCAAGCTGGATTGTCAAGGGGTGGAGCCAGGATGTGTGTTGAAAATGGGTTTTTCCAGAGGTGCTTTGCAAGGTCATGGGTAGAGAAAGCTCCCTCCTTTATTCAAGAGTTTGGTGTGAATTTTCCAGGTGATTTGCCAGCTGAAACTCACAGGTTCATTATGCAAGGTGTTTTATGGCATTTCTGATTAACCTTGAACCGAGTCTCTGCTATGGCTGTAAGCCAAATTCTATTCATGGGGCAAAATAGTATCTTGAATATACCTTATCCTGAAGTTGCATACAAAATAGGGTACAAACTCCAAGTCTACTCCCAGCTGCTTGGTACAGACTGTGATTGGCTGGCAGTGATGCAAAGATCAATGATGTTGCCAGATAAGGCATCAAGGAGTACCTGTCTGCTCCAGCCACCCAAAACCTTCAGTGCATCTCATACAACCTTGGTCCACATCACTAAGATAATGCTAATGTTATGCTGCAGTCTCAATGGATATGAGTGGCTTGGCTGAAGGGATGCACCTTGTTCAACCCAGTTTGTGCTGTTTTCATTCCAGAGCACAAAATACCCTTGGAACTTGTGGCAATTCATAAGAAGCAGGTGACAACCCCCTGTTTGGGAACAAATTAATAACAATAATAAATGATACAGTGATGATGATAATATGATGGTGGTCATCATCAAGTTGAATAATTAAAAAGGCAAATGGAACGTGTTTTCCTACAGTTCAACATCTCAGTTCACCTTTAGTCATTTTGTGCATCAGTGCCCAAGGCTTCTTCTCGCAAGCAGTTTCCCTGAAGTATCTCAGATCAGGTCCAACATTTTTCCAGGTCAGCAAGTGAGAAGCAACACCACTTAAAAGTATCCTGCCAGGCTTTGGTGCCTTTTCTAGACAGGTGACACAGCGCCAATGCAGTGCTGCATCTCTAACAGGATCCAGGGGATTGGAGTCTCCTTGGAGATGCTCAAGGTCAGGATGGATGAGGCTCTGAGCAACCTGATGTAGCTGTATGTGTCCTTATTCATTGCAGGGGAGTTGGACCAAACGACCATCAGGGGTCCCTTCCAACTCAAACGATTCTACAATTCTATTCTATGATTCTGTGAGTGCTGGCTCAGAGGGCTGGCTTATCTCCATTGGGAACGATGTTCCTTCTTTGGGGTTTTTGTCCAAACATCACTAGAAGTGATTTTTTTTCCTGGACTCCACCTGATTTTGTGATTTTTTCAAAGAATAGTTCATATGGTGACAAGTTCCCAGCTTCCTCCAGTCTCTGCTGCTTCTAAGTACCTCTCCCACGTTCTCCAGATTTTTATTTCTATATGCTTACACTTCTTTTCCAAGTCATTCCTTCTCCCCTTACCCTGTAATACAAAATGCTAAAGCTCTGAAAAGTATGTGCACACATAAGATCTAGTTTTCTCCTATGGGGATGGTTAGATCTCAGTAATTGCAGCATACCTTTTGCCTCCTGTATTTATTCCAAAGATCAAGGAAATGCTTTGAAATCATAGAATCATTAAGGTTGGGAAGACCACTAAGATCATCTAGTCCAACCATTAACCCATCAAATATGGGAGTCAATGGAGAAAGGAGCAAGGACTTACCTTGAAGCTGTGTCTCAGAACCAGCAGCTGAACTGTCAGTTCCTTTTTCCCCCTTGAGAAATGGACATATGTTCACAGCCCTGCTGCAATACACACCTGCACCAATATAAATCTGCACCTTTTAATAACAAACAAAAAATTACACAAAGAAGAGAGACTTATGTTGTTGTTATCCTGGGGATATTTGCTCACATCTTCCTAGAAACGGGGGGCAACAATTGCTATTTGCTGTTTCCTCAGAATTTCTCCCAGGTTTACTAGAGAGCACCACGTGTCAGATCGGCATTAGATAGCTGAGCCTGCTGATTTCTCTTTCTACTTCCTCATTTCCCATGGGGTGCACGGAGTTTCTATTCCCAGCAGACAGCCTCGGTGGCATTAGGCAGTACATCCTGTCTCTGAGTACACACAGATGTTCATGGGCTGCTCTTCTACAGCCTCTCAAAATACAGTTGATGGAGTCAGAGTACGCATTTTCCTTCACATAACTGTAATGGTTTTATAGCACGTTAATGACATTCTATATGTATTTTATTTATTTCTATTTTCTAGATATAGGATGACCATTTTCAAATTGTATCTCACTGGACAGGTTCTCTCCTATGCCTGCACCAATACATGAACTATGGGCACTTTCTTTTTCTATGTGGTGCTTATCAACTCCAAAGCCCACGCTCATGAAATCCAGATTGGTATCCAGATTGCCCCTTCCAGGGAATGAGCACACAGAGGGTTGCAAACCTCTCTGTCTGCTGCTTTACAAACCACTGATGAGCCCATGTCCAAACAGCATCCCAGTGTGCATTCAGGAGGCTTGGTGGAGACAGGGTTTCTTCCATTAGTAGTGGATAAAGGGTTTGGAGAGAACACTCTCATCTGATTTCCAATGGAATGAAAAGAGTTCACTCCTATGGTCTCCTGAAGGAAAGCTGTAGGAGAGCTGCTGTTTTCCCACATCACAAGTGAGTTGAAAATGGCATTAAAAATTGTTAACGATGATGATAACCAATAACCACCTGTTGTAACTATGATGTGTCAGAGTTTGAGACCTGGACCAGAAACATACTAGACAGAAGTCAGGGAGTCTAATGCTGTGTTAAAGCTCCTGGAAGTGCATCTTTACAGGATCACAGAATGGCTGAGGCTGTAAAGAACCTCTGGGTCCACTTGGTCAGCCTCAGGTAGGGCATCGAGAGCAGCATGCAGCCTTGAGATATTGGAGCAAAGGGATTCTGGGACTCAAGTTGAGAACAGCATTTAATGGATATTTCTGAATAAGAATAGCAAGATGCTGAGCTTGGTGTCCCAGCAGTACTCACTGGGCTTCTGCTTTTTAACATGGTGAAGTGAGAGGCTGTTATTAGTGTTTTGCTGCTCACAAGAGGTCACTGCATACAGAGAAACAAAGAACTAAACTGTGTTGGTTCTTTTTTTTCTGTTTGGTTTGGTTTTTCTTCAAAAAGGACTTATAACATCCACAGCTAAACAGGAAGTAAGCAAAGCAGATATCAGCTAGGTACTGAGTACAACCAGGACCCAGGTGTGATATCAAAAATGCTATGCAAACATAGCTGAAGTTATCAAAATCCTGATGGTGAAATCCCACCAGAGCAATTAGCAGCAAGTCTTGCATGACAAAAAGTTTTCCCACGTAGTTGGAATCAACAAAAGCTAATAAAGATCAGCTTTAGGGGCAGACCAATGTAAAATTCTTATGTGGGCAGTCTACACTTGTCAGAGAAGGAAAGTGAGTCCAGCTTAGCCATGAATGAGTGATCTGTGGGAATGAAACTGGACCCTTCCATAGGATGGAAGTGTGGCCTTGCCCATAGTTTTAATTAATCTGAAAAAAACCCTGCAGAATATATACATAAAGAAATAAAATGTCCTGTGCCTAAAATATAGGCAACAGTCAAGGACTGTTGAGTCCTTGAGAACAAGCCACGAACCCCATGCTCAACTCCCAAAGACTGTTAGGTCATGCTTTTTCATTTTATTGATGTTTATAAAAATTGTGCTCTCCTGCTTCATTGCTGGCACCATTCTGTCTTTCAAGTCAGTGTAAGCAAAGGCTGCACAATGAAGGAGCTGTGCATTTTCTGGATGGAGTGGAGCTGTGAGTAATGTTGAACATCCCTCTACTGCAAGCCAGCTCCTATGTGGTCTGCCCTGCAAGACAAACCTTCATTTCTTCAGTGCTAAAGCTCAGAGATGGAAGAATCTTACTGAATCCTCCAGTCTTCTCTGAGTCACATGGGAGTTCAGATGTTTGCAGATTACATACTTCCAATAATCCCGCATCGTAGTAGAAAAGAAACAGGAAGGAGTGTTCAAGTCCAACCCTGTCATCTCCATTAGAATTTTCTCCTGACATTTACCTCCTTTCTGTTTCTAGACTGCTGCTGTAGCAGCCCAAATGAGGAGAGATATGCCTCTTGTGGCTGCAGGGCAGGAAGGAGAGGATTTGGAATCAGCAGAGTCAGAGGAGGGTACTATTTCCACTGCTGAAGAAGAGATGCCACCAAAGTCTTTTTTCACTTTTCTATCTCCATGAAAGAGGCAAATGAAGAGCCACAGAGCTGCAGTGTAGATCTTAAGGAAGGAATAAATCACAGCAGCAGAAGCGAATGGGCACAAGAAAACAAAATGCAAGGGAGATGGATTGATGATTGGACTAGAGGATCTTAGTGGTCATTTCCAACCTTAATGATTCTATGATTCTATAAAACATGGTTCACATACATGATACAGGCTGTTCTGGACTGTTCTCCTTAAAGAGCAGCAAAGAGGAGGGTCTCAGGTGAGGGTCCTCAAAGGTTTGAGGTGCCCAGAGGAGACAGTTGGGCTTCTCGTCAACAGCGTCCCAAAAGTCTCTCAAAGCAGCTCTGTAGTGCAACCTCCATTAAGGAGCATAGCTCATGCAAATAACACAACTCTTGTCCAGGGCCGTGGAAGAAGTGCCATGTTTATGGAGAAAAGTGGGCAGAGAGATAAGGATGCAAGAGATATGAGGTTGCCTAATCCAGCACCAGAACAAGTGCCATATTTATAAACTACTGACTTAATAAACTATTGACCTATTTTCCTAGGGCTGTTCCTGCATTTTGAAGATAAACATGTCCCTATAAGGATCAAGCAGTACTTTTAATGTATTACAGTTTAGCAGGAAAACCTTGGGCTTTTTGGGCACATTGGGCTACCCAGACTTGGATTACTTGAAGTAACTTTAGGTGTACGAACTCAGCCAGACTGTGTGCCATGGTCTGTGTGCACGCACAGCAGGTACAGCTCAGTGGCAGTGGGGTCTCATCTCAGTCACCAATCACTTTGCTACAAATACTCATTAGCAGAGAGCTGGTAGATTTGCCTGTGGTTACTTTCACTCTTTCAGTTTTTTTCAGCTTCGGAGACCAAAAATCGATCAGTTGTTTTCATTTTCTGATTCCTGAGCAGCAGCACGGGTTCTGCAGGGGACAGCTAAGCAAGCAGTCACCAAATTCCCAAGCTACAGATGCTCACCAGTTGGGTGCTGCTGGATAAAGAGATGGAAACAAGAAAGAAGCAGGCTCTTTGCCTGGGAGCAGAGGTAAAACACAGACTTCAAAAGTGATGCTGCAATACTGATGTAGAAGGAAAACAAGAATGCTCCTATCTATTTAATGGCACATAGAAATGTTAAAATAATATTACACAAAACAGTAAAAGATATTAATCTTCAAAATATTTCCATATGAGAGATCTATCCTAACATGAAAACTAGCAGAGAACAGCTATGTCTTAATACCTTTTGCAGATGAGAAGTGATTGCTGAAGCAATCTCAGCTACGTCAGACCTATGGGATTCCCCACGGAAAAAAACTGGTTTGCTTGAAGTTCAAGAAACTCAGCTCTATGACTCAGGGTGAGGAAGGCTGTCCCCCTGTTGATTTCATGGTTCTGCATTAAGAAAGGCAAACAATGAATGGATGGGGAAATCCTGCCAGTGACCACAACGCATTGGAGTCAGCAGGCTTGGGGCCCTGCTTCCTCCCGCTGTCTCCTTGCATGGCCCAGGTCATAAGAAACAGCACAAGAGAAGAGTAGACTGATCTGGGATCTATCATCTTCTGGGCCTCAGGAAACTCCTTTCTTCCATCTCTCCATATTGTTTCTCCCTCAAAGGGCTTGCCTCATTCAGTCTCCCAGCACAGCGGCTTCACTCTGCCCAAAATAATTAATCACAGCCTTCACTACAGCCTGTTGAGGTGATTAAAATTCAACAGCTGTCAAGTTTATCAAGCTTCAGGGAGCAAATGCCCTCACTTCCCTTCCAGCTAGGAGACTGTTCTGTTCCCTACTCCAGGCTTTGTTCACCTTTATGGGCAGCAGGTCACTCACCTCCAGCAAGGCATGAGCTTATCCAGGGAAAAGCTGTGCTCTGGTTTCGTGAACAGGTTTGTCCTTATAGAAACTAAATCACGCTGTGGTTTCATACAGATGTGTTTTTAAGAGGCTGAAATGATCTTTTACTTACTAGAGTTTAATTAAATATACAATATATAATAATACTAAATATACATAATACTAAATATAAATAATATAAATATAAATAATACTAAATATAAATATATAGTAACAAACAAATATACAATATTTAATTAAATAAACAAATGTGCACAAGAACTTCTTTACAGTGAGGTGATGGAGCACTGGAACAGGCTGCCCAGGGAGGTGGTGGAGTCTCCTTCTCTGGAGATGTTCAAGACCTGCCTGGATGCCGACCTGTGCGACCTGCTGTAGGGAACCTGCTTTGGCAGGGGGGTTGGACTCGATGATCTCTGGAGGTCCCTTCCAACCCCTACAATTCTGTGATTCTGTGAAATACTTAATACAGTCTGTTTATTAAACCTTTGAGTCGTCCTTCTGGAAGACACTATATTTTAAAGCCCAGATTTTAACATGTAGGTGGACTCCCAAGTCCTGTTGCCATGCAGCTGGATTGAAGCTGCTCTGAGACATGCCACCAAGAGCCCTGGGGCACACCTCTCAGGAGAGGCCAAGGGATTCAGGCTTGAAGGTGAAAGGTGGAAGAGGGAGCAGGTGAGGAAGGGGAGGCTGACGGGCAGCCCAGCAGCTGCCTATAGCTACTTGAAAAGGCAGCTGCAAAGTTAATGATGTCGAACTCCTTGTGGTAGAGCCAGACACTGTTACAAGGGGCAGCTGCTCGGTGCAGGCTGAACAACAGGATAGAAAAAATTGCCTCTAGGAAGGTACTACAGCACTGGAACAGGTTGATGGGAAGTGATTAATGATGAAATGCAGAGGTGACTCAAGGCTCAGCTGGATGAAACCATGCTAAGCCAGCCTAGAGCTGACAGTATTCAAGCACATTTTGAATTAGAGACCTCCAGCTAATGTGTCCAACTAATATCTCTGTGATCCTGTGGTAGGCAGAGCTATCATTTGCTCCTACCCTTCCCCATCCTGACAAACACATCTGGAAAATTATAGCAATGCAATAGATGGCCAAAATTCCCTAATCTTGTATCTTCAGGGCTTTCTACAGCCCAAAGGCCATAAATACATAACTAAATAGACACCACATACCTCAAAGAGCCAAGAGGAGGGCACACTTCCAGATACAGTGTTGAGAGTCCCCTGGGGGACAGATGAGGCTCCATCAGCTCATTTCCTCCCATGAGAGAATGATGATACCCCACAATCACTGCAGCCACTCGGTTCCTCTGGTAATCCTGCAAAATCACCTCTCCATGAGAACTGTGCTTCTGTCTCCTGGGAGCCCCAGGTTTGTCCTCTGTGCCATACACAAACTGTGTTACTGCTTGTTAATTATGCCGAGGATAATTAGCAGTTGCGTCAACAAGATTTCCAGTTTGGTGGCTGGCTCACTCCGTATGGAAATTAGATTGTTGGTTGTGTGTGGAAATACGTCAGATCAAGCTCCAGTTCATTACTAATTAGAAACAGCAGTCCCTTGCTCAGGAGTTGTGCCTTGGGTTGTCTCTGCTGGACTTGGGATGCTCCATGGATGTGGCACAGCAAGAAGAGCCAGCCGTCCACGGTGGTCCTGATCTTCACTTCACCTCTGAAGATGTCAGCTCTCGTTGCTCATTGCTCTCTGCCTCGAGGCACAAAGGATGTGATAATGCTGTGTGGTATGAGGGTGGCAGATCCTGCCACAGCGCCAGCATCATCTTCTGTTAAGAGATGGGAGCAGTGATCTGAAAAAAAGTCCTTGGAGATGCTGAAGCTGCCAAGTGAGATCTTGTTTCTGATCTTAATTATGTGTTCTGTCATTTTACATTTTTGTGACTTTGTTGCCATTACTCAAAATCCAGACTATTAAATAAACAGATCATTCATAAATCTTGCTCAATGCTCACATCCATTGATTCCTATTTAACACTTAACTTATGGGAAGCTGATAAAACCAGTGGGCATTAAGTGCTAAAATGCAATTAGGAGGTTGGTTTCAGAACTTCATTCAGTGCACTTATCAAGTTTAAGATAGGATCTATGTTTAACAGAGAATGAGCAAACAGCCTGCTATTCCATTGTGGGGCATGATGGTTTAGTTACAGTACACACGGAGCATGAGCTCACTTAAGGTAGGTACCTGTGGTAGGAGGTCAGAGTAAGACTCCTTCATTTTGACTGCCTGTGACATAAGTTGTTGATGTTTTCCAGTTGCAATTCCTGGTTTGTGACTACAACATAGTTTGTGACTACATTTCATGTCCACAAAATCTGTTCACTACTGGCTGTTGCTTAAAATTTGAGCCCAGAATATAACCTGAGGACCAGTGGGAAGACAGAGTTCAGACAGAGTTCAGGGAGGCTCAGTGCTGCATCACAACGTGTGGATGAAGAAACTAGATAGGGCTCACCAGGAACATTCCTCAATTATACTTAATTCACAACAAACTGGCCCTCAACGCCAAGCTAAGAGAGGCAAACAATTGCAATAACCATCACAACAGCTCACCCGGACAAAATGGCACAGACTCCCAGATTTGTTTCCAGACCTCTGTTGATTGCTGGACAGAAACTGTCTGGCTGAAGAGCTAGTCTTCATCATTGCCTGTAGAGTCAATAAAAGATTAATGCATGTTTCCTGAGCACAGCTCATAGCATCACAGAATCTTTTGAGTTGGAAGGGACCTTTAAAGGTCATCTAGCCCAACGCCCCTGCAATGGTGAATGTGGATACCCACAGCTCAGAGTGCTTAGAGCCCCATCCAGTCTGACCTTGGATATCTCCAGCTCATACCAGGCAGGTGGAATTGTACTGTGAAAATGCTTATTTCTCTCTGATGGCTACAAGGAAATAGCATGACAAGCTCTAATTTACACCTCTAAGGTTACATGAGATGAACCTCATCTTTATATATGTGACACCTATTTTTTATTACTTACCTAGCCAAAGCATAATAAAATATACAAAAGTTACCCTTTGCCAAAGTTGCTTCCTTATGGACAGACCTCAATGCAAACAGCCCCTCCTCATTAATTCTTATGACATTGGCATGTCAACACAACAGGAATTGCACAGGAACCAGGAAACAGGAAAGTTTGCAACACTCCAGGACAACCTCTAGGAGAACAGCATCTTTCCTGTGTCATCAGTAACAAGGATGTGACTTGAGAACAAAACAGGAAAATAATCTGTGTGGCAAAGAGGGAAGGATGCATGTTGTGCCACTTCAGGTTGAATATTAGGAAAAACTTATTCTCATAAAGAGTGGTCAAGCACTGGAACAGGCTGCCCAGGGAGGTGGAGGAGTTGTCATCCCTGGAAGAGTTCAAGAAATGTGGAGATGTGGCAGTGAGGGATGTGTTTAGTGGGCATGGTGGGGTGGGTTGATGGTTGGACTACATGATCTTAGCGGTCTTTCCAACCTTAATGGTTTGTGATCCTATGCTGTTCAGTCTTCATTTTCCTAGATCTAACTGTTTGATGTGGTTTGTGAAGCCTGTAGAGATTTATTTTTCTTAGCTCTTGGCATGGTTGGCTGAGTTTAGAGTAGTGCTCTGCAGGTTACTCAAGTCCAAAATTGTTGTTAGCACCGGAAATCACCCAGCATGCAGGTGTGTTCATGATTGTCTAGCTGTGGGCTGGATGCAGATTTGAGGAGCTTGGGAAGTGAAGTCAGGAGCTGTTTGTGCAAGTGACTCATGCTGCTGCGCTGAGTTAGGCCTGCTGTTAGGCCACAAACATAGTGACTCAAGAGCCAGCTAATGCTCATGGCTGACTTTGTCCTTGTGATGCAGCCTTGCCTTGTAACACTCCCCTTTCAAACCAAATACATGGCCTCAGAGGGCTGAGCAGATCCCAAGATGATGCTCCCTTTTTGTCCAGGATATCTGCTTGAGGTACCACCTCTCTGGATGTGGTCTTTACCAAAAGGATGCATAAGAAAATCCTGTGTTTCGACTCCATGGATGCAGAATTCAATGTTTATTTTCGTTTTATGCATGCACAGAACAAGTTTACTATAAATACAAACCTGTGTCCATAATAGGCAAGTGGGGAAATTTGAAATGGGTATTTCCAAGAGTATGTCAACAAGATATGGTGAGTCACAAACTGCGATAAGACAAACTCAGCATTTCCTTTGTTTTGTGGGTTTCTGCATTGACACAGCCTTGAAAGTGTTACACATGGGCAGCACCCATCTTTGCAAGAAGGAGAGAGGAATGGGAACACCAAAGGTTGACAGGTCTGCAGGTCTAACTTGACCAGGGTGAGAAAATGAGCCACAACAGCAGGTAAATTCCTCAGTGGTAAATGAAGATTTTCCTCAAACATGAGCTCAGCAGGAAAATACATAAACCTGCAGGCAGCCAGACCAGACTTTACCTCACCTGGTTCTCTGATGCCTCTTCTGAGATGAAGCTGCTTCCTTAGAACACAAAATCCACAGCAAGGACTGAGTGCCAGGACCTGTATCTCAGTAGGGCATATTTGCAAGGGCAGAGAATAGTTAATACAGTTGATTAAGCTTTGGGTGGGAGAAGCCTGTGTCCAGGCAGGCTACAATAGCATTTAACTTCCAGCCCACCAGACAGGTATAACAAGAGAATCTATGCTCTTGAAAAGCAGAAGTGTTTGCTGACACCAGAAAGGAAACCAGCTCAGCAAAACTGTGCTATGGACGTTGCATCTAAAATCCAGACTGGCTGCCCGGAGGCAGATCTTATAATCTCATAATCACAGAATCATTAGGTTAGATTGACCACTAAGGTCATCCAGTCCAACCCATCCCTACCATGCCCATTAACCATGTCCCTCAGTGCCACAGCTGCCTTTTTCTTGAACACCTCCAGAGATGGTGACTTTACCATTTCCCTGGGTAGCCTGTTCCAACACTTCAACTTGAGGGTAATAAACTTGTGGATATTGTTTAGATACTTCTGCATCTTTAGCCTTGGGAGTTGAACCTTGTTGCCCTCTCTGCATCTCAGGGTCACCACAGTAGTAAAACATGGATTCACCAGCTGAGTATACAGTATTGCATCCAGGCAAAGGAAGAACAAATGCCACCACCAGCATCTGGGATTGATAAACCCTGTATCAGAAGGTTCCCAGCCTCACAGAAGAGTTATTGCAGGCAAAATGATGGGCTTGTTTGAATTGCACAATGTCAGCACTTGTAGACACTGTGAAGTCTGGTGATGCAAATGGCTTGGAGCATCTTGATCTAACACCGATGTCAGACTTGCTGTGAGTATAATTTTGGACTGTCCAGAGCTCCATTTCAACCTCAGAGTTACCATGATAATCGTTTTTCTCCTTGCCTTGGTTTTGCAAGACATGAAGTTTAGTTTCAGTTATGGATGCTGACCCCACAGGAGCAATAAAAAAGGAGGCTGATGTTGAATTTACCAACTGCATCTCTTTTTTCCCCTCCTCTTTATATTCACTCATTTATTCACCAATTCCATATCTGTTTGCAAAGAAGTCTGTATTATAAAATTATGGCCACAGAGTGCTATACAGCACCCAAATGAGGTAGGATGGAAGGAGTGAGCATGTCAAGTCCAATCTCAAATGGACTTGAGTAAGGACATCATGATAAAGCCTTACTGAGAACAAGACCAAAATACAGGAAAATGCAGGTGAATCTGGAACAATCAGAAAATACCTGCTTTAGAGCTCAGCTTTGACAGCTTGGTTTTTAAGACAGCTGCAGGACTAAATCACAGGAATCATCACAAAATGTACTGCCTGACGCTGTTTGGTTTTCTTGGTGGTAAGGTGGATTTCTGATAAATGCAGAGCTGTTACCATCAGCCCCCAAAGTGCATCCTGGGAGGTATGCCACAGGAAACACAATACTGAATGTGACTGTTCTTTCTGTACCATTTTTATACTGACTCCTAAATCTTCCCCATGGACACTGATGGATGCATTACTGGGAAAACATGTTGGGAGTAGTAGCACAAACTTGTCATCAAAATCCATGCATTCGTTTAAGGCAAACCTTTCAAAACATAATTTTACCAAGGATTAAAACAGGTAGCACCCCTCTTTATTGTAATCTAGGGCAACAGCTCAGCCCAATTTATTCCATTACAGAGTTAATTTCTCCTGAACATCACTGGTGCCCTACAGCTATTTGGATATTATTTGTCAGTGCTTACAACATGAAGTCTTATGTTCATACAAAATTCTTCATCCATGTGTCATGCTCTATGTTGAACTTTTATTTTGCTCTTGGAAACCACTCTAACATTCAGAAGAGCTAATAGAGGAATGCACTTAATGATATTACTTACTCTCAATCTGCTCCTTCATGCTCTGAATTATATTGTCATCCAGCATCCATTCAGGCAGCTCATATAGGTAGCCTTTAAAAGGCTACATGTTGTTTATTCTCAGTCATCCAAACAAACTGGCCTGCAGGAACAATTTGTCCCCAGAGATGAGGAAAGAACATTTATGAACGGAGGGTAAAAACTGATAGCTTTCTGCTTTCTCCATCAACTACAAATTAACCTCCAGGTAGAAGATTATTTTCCATGCAAGTTACAAACATTGCAATCAGTATTTTAGGTTTCATTACGGCAATAAGGCTGGATATCATTACTGATAAGATCAGGGGGAAAGGCAATATAGAGGTTACTACCTTATCTGCCTCCTGCCCAGCCATGCTCAAGGAAATACACACACAGACTCCAGGCTTCCTTGTTTACTGACAATATTGTTGAACAGTCCAGGAGTTGGACTCAATGATCCTTATGGTTTCCTTCCAACTTGGGATATCCAATGATTTTAATAGAAGTCATCTTGGAAGCCCAGCCACCCCACCGTCCCAACTACAAAGCTGACAGATCATCAACCATCTGTATCAGCAACCAAACAGGGGGCAATTGGAATTCATTAATGAAAAAAAAAAAAAAAAAAAAAAGCAACTATTTTTAACAGTGTATTTCACTCCATGCCATCCAGGGCACTCTGAGGATGTCAGCACGAAGGAGGACATCCTGCCCTGTGCATGCTCTGCATGATGCTCAGACACTGCACCACAGAAGGGGCTTTCCCCGGGAAGTGTGGTTTCTCTACGCTGCATTGTAAGAGGGAAAGCAAGACTGGGAGGTTTTTTGGTCATCCTTCTAGGAGAAGCAAAGCTGTCCTGCTCAGTGTCAGCAGCCCTGGTGCAGGAAGTGGGCTGTTTGCAGTGTGTGCTAGATCTGTGCTATCGCATGTAGGAAGTGGTATAGCACTTCCCTGTACACAGCAGTTACCAACACCGCAGCACCTCGGTTTCAAGTTGGGGACCAGCAAACTCGGCAGTTTGAAACCTCACCCCAAAGCTGAAAAGTTCTTTATCTTTGAACTGAGCTAGAGAAGTCGGTGAGAGATGAACTGTAACTGGGGTTTCGCTGGCAAAACACAATGGTGTTTGCTGAATTGCAAATACAGGGGAAATGCTTTATGAGAAATATCAGACCTGGTTCTCCTTTGATTTGACTCCATTGTTCTGAAGAGCAGCCTCTTTATAGTTGCAGACTCCTAAATCCTCTGCCTCGGCCTCCCTACCTGGATATGACCAACACAAAGCATTGAGAGCTTCTGAGTGAACCAAAGAGCATAGCAGTTGGACCTGGAAAGGACTCTCAGCCCATCACCGGCCTTCAGAAATATTCAGCATAGAGTATGCCATTCCTGGCAGCTGCCTGGCCCATCTCCTCATAACAATTTACTTAGTGTATATTTTACTTTACTTTACCCCACCGCATGCCCGGGCAATGCATGCCTACCTGCATGACCTAACTGCATTGGCTGCCCTTACTGCTGGGATTTTTTCCTATTGTAAACTCTAAATATGCCTGCTGTGACAATTGCTGAAAAGTTGATTTAATGCTCAGTGCATCAACAAGTTGGATAGCTGGAAAAAC